TTTCCAGTTGGGTGACAGACCTGAATCGGGGGATGGAGTGGCAGTCTTAGAAAGAAACCTGGTTTCTAGCCTTGACCTGCTGTGTTATTTTGCAAGTGTTGATCTTGGAGTTCCTCTTCATCTGTAAAATCCTGATGCCATCTTCCAGCCTTAAAAGCTATTCATGTACCTCTGGCACATTAGTTTTTTTAACTGAGAAATTGGTCATCAAGTTAATTATGATTTAGTTCTGATTTCAAATAATCTGATGTATACGGGTGGTTAGTAATAGCCATCTAAGGAGAAATTTATAATTTTTTTCTTACTGGCTCTTAGCCTACAGCTGGACATCCATTTTCTCCTAAGATGTAACAAGATATGCTTTTTTTTCTTTTTTTTAAGACTTTTTGCTATAGGGTATGTGTTATGTGTGCTCACTGGAGAGAGAGAGAGAGAGAGAGAGAGAGAGAGAGAAGAGGCAACATGAGAAATCATTTCCCCAGGAAGATGGCCATGCCACAATTCCTTCTCCTCTATTCTCCTTTCTGGATTTTGGGCACACACGCATGTGTGCCCAGCTTGATTTTCAAGCCACTAAGTCCAGGACTCTAATCGGTCCACTCAGCCATGTGGAAGGCTAGTACCTTAACTACTTTGCCACCTGCCAGCCTCCTGTTTTAACATTTTTAAAAAAAATTTACTTATTTCTTCAGAAAGACAGTAAGTGAAAGAGAGAGAGAGGAGAGAGAGAGGCATCCCCAGGAGGTCTTTATGCTGTGATGTGCCCCTACCCCAGGTCATGGGTACTGTAACCGGCATGCATATGGAGACCTTGGGACCTGAACTCAAGACCATTGGGTTCAGCATTGCTTAGTGTTGCATTACCCTTGTGCCACTGCAGTTGGCCTTTGTTGTTGTTACTGTTTGTTTTGATTTGTTTTAATTTCTTAACCCATTAAGCTCTCACTAAGAATTTTCTTCTGTTCATTTGCGGATACTAAACGTTTTCAGACACTGGAATGGAACACATTGGCAAAATAACTGTTAGGCAGGAGACCTCAGGTTGTTCTTTCACGGCCTCAGAACACCCTATTTCTATTTCTATTTAATTCATAAACTTCAAAGATGTTCAGTGAGGTCAGAAAGCCAGAGTAGGGAGTTGCCAGTCTTTGTGACCTAAGTGTGATAGTCCCTCACAGTAGAAAGAGGAATTG